CAAACTGGCCTTCAACTTACTTTCTAGCCCAGGCTGGCCTTGAACTTGCAGCAATCCTCCTTCCTCAGCCTGCTGAGTTACAAGCATGTGCCACCACACCTGGCATGTTTAGTGAGTTCTTAATGGTCATCAGGTGAAAAGAGTATGGCTCTGTGCTCCTGCTTCTCCTCCCTTGCCTTCTCTCATCCAGCTCCCTAAATACTGGAATGGGAATAAAATGACCTCCTCCATGTCCCAGAGTAATGGTTCAGTTTTCCTATCCATACTGCCATGCTTTGCATACTCAGAGTAATACCCAGCCCCCAGATTTTGGGTGTGCAGGTGTGCATACAAAGTGGATGTGAGTCTAGAATGCTGTATGCTGGTGGCAGAGGCTCTGTGTGTATGATTCTGGAGGAGAGAACAGCCCACACTAGCTCTGATGACCTGTGGGGTGCTCAGTGAGTCAGAGCTTATGTGTGTCACTGTACTGCCTCTGTGTTGATGGACATGCTGGTGTGTGTGCATTTCTGTTTATCTGTGGAGAGGGCACCCACGGGTATGAATGCATTTGAGTTTCATCTCAAGGAGTTCCGTGACTTTTAACCTCTTAAGTCCTGAGACAGCCTCAAGCACCTTCCTCCTCCCTGAAGGTCATTTGCATAGGGAATTAGACAAAAGCTCTCCAGGGTAACTTATATCTGGTAGTATCTTTTCCACAGCTGTTCTGGTGTCAATCTTTTGACCCTCAAAAGTTGTTCTTCATACCTGTTTGCCTGTGGTCCAAAGGGAGGCAGGGGACCTATGTAATCCTGGGAAGGATTAGGGGAGATTTTCAGAGCACACTTGTGGGAGCATGGTTTTAGTCTGGGCCAAGGGAGTGCTGTTTGTCCCTTAGTGTGTTTCCTCACACCTCTACCAAGGGAAGGTCGCTTGTGGCCTGGTTGGATAGAACTGAATTTGGCACCAATTGTTATGCTCTGAGCTAGTCCCCCATTTTGACCCATTCCCTGCTGTGCCCCAGGACACTGGACTGAACACTGAGCCTGCTAAGAAGTTGGGATGTGTCTCCTTCGGAGGAAGGGAACTGAACTATGACAGGGAATGCGCAAGGCTGTGATATAGTCCATTCATGCTTTAGCTCGAGCTCTGTGCTATGGCGTTGGGTTCACTGCTTCCCCTTCCTAGCCTCAGTTTACTCATGCTTAGCATTGATGAGTTGATAGGAAGCTATGTGAGGATCCCGTCAGCCATGAAAATTCTGGATTTTTAAGAAGGGCAGTGCTGTCTGGCTCACCCAGACCAAACCTCATATTTTAGTCTATCTGTAAATTGGGAAGAATGCTGCTGCTACTGGTATATGTCTATCTTATTTGGAGATCTCCTCTGTCTGAGTTCTCTAGTTGCCCCATCCTCAAACCAGGACTCAGAAGCTCACTGTCCAGTACCTCAGTCTAAGGTGAGCCCTAGGAATCTCCATGGCAACAAAATGGTTATGAACGGGGCTGCGGTTGCCATGGTGACAGGCCTCTCTTTCTCATCCCCCTCCTCTCCTTTCCTCTCTTCTCAATGAACCAGAGCAATCTGCAGGCCTCAGCTCTCCAGGTGGGGTGGGGGTGGGGGTGGATGCAGTGAGAAGGGGTCCGAATTGAGAAAGAGGGAAAATGGGCTGAGTCTGCAGGGAAATGGGGGGCTGTTGGGGTGCTGTTGCCATGGTGACAGGACTGCAGCTTGTTAATTAAGCCCCCGGTTGCCACGGAGACAGTGGTGGTTGACGTGCTCTGCGTCGAGCCCTGTGTGTGCACGGTGTGTTGTATGCTGGACTTATCAATCCATAGCAAGGGTTTGGGTCTGGAGAGTGGGATATGTAGGTAGGGGTGAAGAGTGAGGGAGAGGACTTGGCTCTGTGTTTCTGAGCTGGGGGTAGATGGGTAGATTGTGGGGGCGATGCCATGGAGATGGAAAGAGTGGAAAGGGTTTGAGCCATAAGGGTAAACATTGTTTTTTTTGTTTTTTTGTTTTTTTGTTTTTTTTTTTTCATAAGGGTAAACGTTGTGCCTGCTTTCTGGGGAAGAACAGTTAGGGGGGGTCCGGCTTCCTACAGAAATATGCCTAGCCTGGTTCAGTGGATGGAGGCCCGGGATAAGAGCCATAGAGTGGGTCCAACTCCCCAGTGTCACAAGCTCACCCCATGAAGAGAATTCTTTCTATTCTATTTCCATTTCTAGACTCCAAGTTCACCATAAGTGATGAGTGGGAAAAATTTATAAAGTCTCTTTTAGTTCTTAAATCCTGATACCCTGGAGGCAGCTTCTCTGAGCTTTTTTCTCTCTTAGAAACAAGGTGGGAGGGGGTATGAGTTTTAGAAACTCAGAGTTCAAAAATAGGACCCTGCCCAGCTCTGCATTTTGTGTTGATTTTGTGATCCTTTAGCATTATATCTACCCAAGTTTCTGTGTGGAGAAGGGGTGCTCGGAAGGTAGCTGGATCCTTGGATCTCAGAGCTGAAGGCCACCTCTTACAGACCAGTGGCAGTGTAGGAGGTGCCTGCAATGGGCTTTCTCAAAGGCTCATGACAGAGGGCTGGTCTGAGGCCTGAGTATGGCCTCGCCTCCTTGAGATGAAAAGTAGTGTCTCCTAACTTACTCTGGGCTTCTCAGGAAGTGTTCTGTGATTTCGGCATGAAAATAATGGGGACCAAGAAGAAATAGGGTTTTGCAGCCTAATGTTTTCATTTTATAAATGGGTATACTGAGATCCAGATAGAGAGGAGCTTGGTTTTGCCCAGAATATACAGGATTCTAGGGTAGAGAACTGAACCACTGTCTCTGCTATCAAGGACTCTTAAGGTCAGAACACTGGTGAAGGTGGACAGATAGTGTACAGATAGTCAGAGGAAGAGAAATCACTCATGCTTTACCCATCTTCCTAGAGCTGGTTTCCCCATGGTTGTGCTCATTCCCTGAGTGGTCAAAGTTACTCTAGCTCTGGGCCACAAATGAGCAGAAATATCCCCAGGGGAACAACCTAAATTTGAAGTTTCTGATAAACTACAGATGGGAAGAGCACTCCCAGACAGACACACTTCACGTGTTTTACTATGGTACACATCTCTACAGAGCAGTAGAAAATTATAGTGGTGGTGATGGTGGTGGTGTATGTGCACTGTGGAGTGGTGAGAAATTCTTGAAAAGTGGCCTTCCTACCAGCTATCATTTTAACCCTTTGCACCAGTCAGAATAAACTTTTTTTTTTTTTTTTAAGTTGTTCTCTTTGGGAGTCAAGATTATCAATGTTCACATGTTGTCTGAATAGCTCTTTACCTCAAAGGTCATTTGGGAGTCCACATAACCAAATGACTGATGCTTTTGTGGATCCCTCAAAAATACCTTTGAGTCAGCAGTCAGAGACCCATCAACCCATCACAAAAACATACAAGGGAATCCAAGTGCTGGGCACTGTCCATGGTTCTCAAAACTATGTCTTAAAAACGGGATTTCCACGGATACAGATAGCTCTTTACAACTCTTGAACGTCTTCTGGGTTACCCTTCAGATCCAAACTGAGTGGTCACTCCACTTTTGCCCCTTGAAAGCATAAGCAGCAGGAGGAGAAAGCCCATTTCAGGCCCTGTCCCTTTTCTTTCTTTTGAGCCAAGAATATGATTGTAGCCTTGTTTCTTCTACTGGAGGCAAAGCTCATTTAAAAAGAGGTTCTGTTGAGGACAGTCCTACATTGGAATAAGGAGAACTGAGTTGTACACTGTATTCTATAGTTCACTGGCATTGGGTGCACATGCAGTCATTGTTTTCCTCTGGCCTTTAGTTTTTCATCTGTAAAATGAAAGCTCAAGTTAGATAAGACAGCAGATGCCTCTCCAGTCCATAACTCCCTTGGAATTTACAGACCTAGCATTGGGAACTAGGATGACTCTGAAGACATTTTTTCTAATTTATGCCTGCCCTCCAATATTTAGATTTTCCAGAGATTCAAAGAATCCAAGCTTCTGATACCACTTCCTGAAATGTCCCCTGCTCTGGCACTAGTCTGGATTCTAGGGGTGCTGAGGTGTCCCAGTATAATCAAGCTTCTGGAGGGCCAGTGTCAGGAGAGGGGGCAGGAACACAGAAAGCATGTCAGCTCTGGAAGCCTCAGAAAGCAATCCTGGATTAGGGGATTAGACACTCCCGCCCCAGGAGAAAATCTGCTTCCCAGCCGAAGGGCGGCCTCATTTCCCCCTTCCCCCACCCTGTCCCTGACCAGCCTTGGGCCAGCTTGCTCTCCCTAGAGGCTGCACCATCCCCAGTGGAAAGTCAGCGCTCCTTGGAACCTCATCGCAGCCTCCTTTCCTTACCGTATCTTGTCCGTGGATCACTATTTCAGAAAGGCCCTGTCTTGGGGGTAGGGTCCTGAGACTCCTGGTGGCCTAACATAATGAGAATTAGATGTAACTCATCAGGTTCCATGCCACCTATTTCAGGATAGAATGAACGTCAGCCCAGTGACGTGAGACCCTCAGAGAGTGGTACGGGCTTCACTTTCAGGCCCTGGGCTCTACATGTCTTCAGCTCCAACCTCTTGAGAAAAGATATGGGAAAAGGTCTGATTCTCCTCCCTCCAGGGCTAGCCTCTCTAGCTTTGCAGACGGGCTCCCCAGGGCCCCATATTTCATAGCGCCCTTCCCCCCGTGCTGCCTTAGTCCCCCTCATCTTCCCTCTGGGGGTCACCCCAGACCCCTAGTCAGGCAGCCGCTGCGGGGCCGCCTCCCCGCGGCCGCGACCTAGTTCCCTGCCGTTATTTTTAGGGCGCGGGATGGCACCTGCCCACGTGCCGGCCCCGCCTGCGCTGGAGTGGTGGTGGGGGGAGCTGCGTTTGCTCAAGGGAGGCGAGGGCCCCGTCCCCCACAGCACCCCCTTCATCCCACTCGCGCAAGCCCCCAGTTTTCCTGTGAGGGGGCCACCAGGCGCACTCTGCCCTCCCCTCATCTCCTCTCCTCCCTCCCTCCAGCTCTCCCCCCCCAAAAACCCCGCCAGTGGCTCACGCCTCCTGCATACGGGATGAGGTGAGCAGCGCCGCTGCTGAGAGGGGGCGCGCGCGGGTGTGAGCGTGTGTCCGTGTGTGAGTGTGTGTGCGCCGGGCGGGCGGGCACTGCAGCTTCTTCCTCTGTGGAGCGGAGAACGATCGAGAGAGCTCGAGCGGGAGAGAGAGTGGCGAAGGCGGGCAGAGGGGCGCGGGCAAAGCGGCGCAGCCATCCCCGGCCCGGCGCCGCGCCGCCACCATGCTCAACAACCTGACGGACTGCGAGGACGGCGATGGGGGAGCAAACCCTGGTAAGCAGTGGTCCGGGGGCAGCGGGGGAGGGGGCAGCGAGGAGAAGAGTCAGCTCTGGGGTCAGGGGCAGGGCGGGGGCCGCCTCCTTCAGAGAAGAGCCTAGGACTGATCCGGGCAGCGGACGCTGTGGCGGCCTGGAGCCCCACTCCATTGGAATGCGCCAGGCGCTGTCCGAGGTGCTGGAATGCACCGCGCCCGCAGGCAGACCTGAGGCCAAGGGGTTGTGTTCCCCTACAGCCTGGGGGGCAGACTTGAGTTAGCTGTGCAGTGGAAGAGGTGGGAAGGGGGATACAAGAGCTAGCACGGGCTGACGTGCAGCTCGACGGGTGGGAGGAGGGCTCCTTCCACCAAGAGGGGACCCAGGCATCCTGATTCAGAGCAGGGACCAGTGGCACCGGGAGGCGCAATCTGCTGCAGTCTCTTGATTTGAGACTTCCAGATGGAAGGTAGCGGGGACAGGTGGCTACAGGGTGTAGGGGGCATTATGACAGCCCTCATCTGAACTGCGGTGTCCCCTTGGTGCAATCCAGGCCCCCTCCCCCCAGGCTTCCTGAGGTCCGACCTCAGACTGAAACTGCCTCCTCCATAGATTTTTCAGTTCCACTTCGTGGGATTACCCTCTCCCTTTATCTTTCCCGGGGGTTCTTATTCAGGACGAGAAGCAAGATCCCTCTCCTTTCTTCTTTCTCGCCCCTTCCTCTAAGTCCTCTCAGTGATAGTGTGGTTTCCAGGGCGGGGCAGGGGGATCTTCCGAGTTAGCTCTGCTAGCTTTCCTAGTGAGGCTTCAGAAATGGGGTCCCAGCGACTGAATTCCCGGCGCCTTGGCGCGGGCACTGCGGACGCGCTGCGGTGGGTGCGGAGACTCTTCAAGAGCTGAGGGGCTTGGAGCAAGTCCTTTTACTGCTCCCGCTCTCCCCCGCCCTCCTCCGCTGTTTCCCTGCTCCGAGGTCTTGGGGCCAGCCACCCCCTCCGGCTCCCGGGTCCCCCGCCGCCCCCCAGCGGTCTCAGCCATCCATCACGGATGTCAGCCGCCCCCACCCCCCACCCTCCAGCGGCGCTGCGTCCCTTGCGCACTAGCGCGCCTCCCGCGCCTCCCGCGCCTGCTGTCTGCGCTCAGTGCCTTCAAACGCTCCCCTGGGCATTGCTTGACCCTCTAGACTGAGTCTCCCGCAGACCTCTCTGGAGTATGACCAAAGGGCCACAGGGGCTGAAAGAGCAGTCTTCCAGACACTGGCAGCTTTGGCTCTGAGATCCTCAATCCTGGATCTCAGTCAGGGCCAGGTGGCTGTTGGGGAGGCTGGGGACACTAGGGTCCCCAATCCTTTGACTGAGACCTCTTTTCCATTTGTCTCTGGGACTGAGTAGTGTATACAAGAGCCAGAACTATTAGCTGGCCAGCTCATCCATCTCTCCAGTGACCCTGGGGTCACCTCATAGGGCAGCTGTCCCCTCTACCACGTGCTTTGGCTGCAGGGGGAGGGGGTTTGGCAAAGTCGAGCCTGCGGCAATGCCAGGCAGTGCGGTGCCCAAGGAGTAAACGAGGGAGGGGGCATTTCCATCTGGGATTCCCTTCTGTCTTTTAGATACCTCTACACCAAGGCAAGGGGGCTCAACTGAGAAGTAATCTCTCTGTTCTTCCAGAGAGGTTGTGGTCCAAACACCCATAATCCACTTTCTCCACTAACACTTCACTGGGCCTCAGGTTTTCCACGGGGTCTCTGGAGGGCTAGTAAAGAGACATCTATATGTTTGAGACAGTAGTTGAACTAAGAACTCTTCGATTCTTGACCCTCCCTGTTAAGTTTCTAGACCCTGAGTATAACAAGCCTGTCTAGAGACTGTCTTTCTATATATAGGGTCCAGGACCTGGGACTAGAAAGATCAAGCCTCAGGTCAGGTCTTCTGGGTCCCAGAGGGAGAAGGCCATCCAGGGGCACATGAAGGAGGTGGTAGAAGATGATAACAACATTCTCTGCTTGAGGAAAGAGGAACTGAGAACCCCTAGCATCTCTGAGTCTTGATTCTTGGGGGCTGTAGGAGAGCGGGATGTTGACCTCCAGAGGTGGCTTGATAAGAGGGCTCCTCTGGACTAAAGAAGAACCCAAAGATGTTATTTCTGGCTTGCCGATCTCCTTTCCCTGGGGAGCCTGATGCCCCCTCTCTCTTCCCAAGCTGGCCTAGGGATTCCCCCAGGCCCAGACCCAGGCCTCTGGGGAGGCTCCTTAGCCCGCGCCGATAGCCTGTTTCCTCCCCGGGAGCTCTAGCCGCCGCAGCTTAATTGAAAGCCGATTCGGGCTGAGAGCTCCCAGGGGGCGGGGGCAGGGGCGGGGGCGGAGATGGGGAGGACTCAGCCTGGATCTGGCCCTGCCTCTCTCGGCCACCGGCTCAGCGCTTTCCCATCACCCTGATTCCAGGCTCTGGGGAATCAGGACGAGTTTTCCCTTAGCTGTCCTGTTCCTTTGAGAACTCAGAAGCTCCCTTCCCATCCCCCTCAACTAGTGCGCCTGGCGTTCCAGGGAGGGGACAAAATCAACCCTTGGTTGTCAAGGCCAGGAGCCTGGCGTCCGGCCTCTGTGTCGGGTGGAAAGGCAGGACCCAAAACAAGCCTCCCGAGCCGCCCCCTCCCCTGCCCTCATCTCCTGGCCGGGATCCGGCCTGTAGTCGGCCTCCAAGCTGCGCGCCGCGTTACATAAGCGACTGCGGGCGCGTGGCCGGCTTGGCTCGGCTGGGCTCGGCGCTGCGCTCAAGGCCCGTGCGGTCACCATGGAGACCGGCGCTGGGCTGCCTTGTTACTCAAGGTCTCGGGCCGATGGCCCCCTTCCTGTCCCCTACGCGCCACTTGTCCCCGCAAAGGAGAGACTTAGGAGGGGGCAAGGAGGGCAGAGCAGATGGGAGCTTTTCCTGTCTGGTGGTCCTGGTCCTAACAGGGGCGTTTCTGGGAGAGTCACCTAGCCCTACAGAAGAGGAAGCAACTTCCAAATCTGGCAATGGAGGGGGGGAGGGTAGTGGGGGAGGGACAGCAGCCTGGCATGGGGGGCGCCAGGTATGCTAACCATCATAACTGTAATAGCAGCAGTCTACACTTGTGTGCTTGGCTCAGAACACGCATCATTCCAATTAATTCCCACAACCACTCTTTAAGTTAAGCAAGATGAGTATCCTTTGGCAAAAGAGAAAACAAGCTTAGAAAGTGATTTGCTCAAGGGGAAGATGCGGCTGGGACTGGAACCTAGATCTCCCTTACTCTTGCTCTTTTCCTTAACTATTGTGTTGGGTCAACCTCTGTAGTTCCCACAGTAGTGTGATGAGAACAGGAAGCATCTTTTTAACATTAGAAGAGAGGAGGAGATAGTCACCTCACCTTATTTTTCCTGTCCTTGGACCCCACACAGCTGATTTGAACCCTGAGGTCAGAAAGGAAAGCCCTGGAGATTTTATCTCTGAAGACTATTTCCTGAGCATCTGTTATGTGCTAGGCTCCCATGGGAAGGATGGGTCTGATTCCCAGGAACTCACATTTGAGGTTGAGGTGGTGGCAGGAGACTGGATGGTGGTGGATTTTAGGCATTACTTCCCTGCTGCCTCAGCTTTTAGGGTGGGATTGTGTTTATAACAGGGACAGGTCATGCTCTGGAGGTGGACCTGGCTGGGTGACTGAAAACATTTTCCAGAAGAGAGGGAGAAGAAGGGTCCAGCAGATTTGGATGGATGGGGGCAGGAGAGAGGACTGCAGGAGACGAGGGCAAAGGAGGAGCTTCCCTTGGGTTTGGTCAGGGTCCATATGGATGGCTCTGCTGGGATTCAGCCTTGGAATGGGGGAGGCTGATGGCTGCAGACAAGGGAATGTGCCTATGGAGGCCTCTTTGGTGACAATATCTTGCTGAGATGCCCGGGCTGGCCTTGAACTTGTGCTCTTCCTGCCTCAGCCTCCCAAGGGCTGGAATGACAGCTATGTGCCACCACAACTGGGTCTCCATGGAGGCCTTCTGTGTCTTTCTGAAGGGATCATTTCCTTGATGCCAGCAGGCTTTCTCTCTGAGTGACCTCACCGAGGCACAAGGCTTGCCACACCGCACACGTTTCTATGGGATTCCCCATTTCTCCTGCCCAGCCTCAGTCCTGATCCATATATCCAGGTGGCTTCTGGCTGTATCCATGTGAGTGCCTTCTGGTGGCTCATCCTCATCTAAACACAGTGTCTGCCCTGCCCCTGGCCTCCTGTTAATTACTGTCCAAGTTTATTAAGAAGTGGCATCACCCATGCTAGAAACTCCAAGCAGTATGCTAGACTCTTGCCCTCCACCTTCCGCCCCCAAACGTCTGGCATGGAAATGTGCCTGTCATTGTCCTGGTCTGGGTAATTATCAGCCCCTGCCTGCATTATCTAAAGTTTCTAGTTTTCGTATTCCCTGCCAGAATGGCAGTTCTGAAACACAAGTCTGCTCATGGCGTTCCTTTGCCTGAAGCCTCCATGGCTGTCCGTCGTCCTCTGGATGAGGTCCAGGCTTTAAGCTGTCCTGCTAGTTGCTGGAGGCCCCGCCTGTGATGGCCTTCCAAGGCACGCCTTCCCCCACAGCTCAATCGTCAGCATCCCAGCTGGCTCAGACTTGGGTTACTCTAACCTGCTCTGTGCTGTGTTCACTCTCACCTCTGGGCCATCGAACATGCCGTTCTGCTGCTCTGTCTGCTGGAAACACCCTCCCCGCCTCCCTCCCGGGGTAGCTCTTACTCACCCTTTGGTTCTCATCTGACACATCACTTCCTCTGGGAAGCCTTCTGCGACCTCCCGGCTGGGCTGAGTGCTGTCCTGCAGTGCCAGTTCATCTCCTCTCCTAGACTCTAGATTGCTGCTTTGTCTTCTCTGGCTTTGCTTGATTCTTTAAGGACAGGAGTGGCGTCTTATTGTGTGCTTTGTTTCCCCTCTGCTCGTGCCAGTATTGGCACTTGGTAGATATCCATTTGACTAAAATGAATGAGAGGCATAGGATATGACACCAGGGGCATTTTCTGCATGGGGGAGCACCCTCTGGTGGAGTCTCAGGCAGCAGTGTTCTCTGCCTTCTGCCTTGAGAAAGAATATGTGTCCACCCTATGACTCCAGGATGGACTAGTTGTGTTCAGTGGTGGCACTCTGGACAGTCTTGGGCTTCCCTGGTGAATGAAATAGGACTCCCTCCAGAGCGAGGGAGCACTCCCATGTCCACTGAATACGCAGTACAAGCCAGGCAGTGTACTAGGCTCTCTGCCCATGCCATCAGCTAAAGTCCTGTAAAGAAAGTGGCATAAACCCGATTCTTTTTCCTGACATGTAAACCAAGGTTTAGAGGGATCAAATGACTGCACAGCCGTGAACCAGAGTGGGTGAAGGACAGTGTATGCCAGACTCCTGACTCCTTTGCTTTCTCAGGTGATGGCAACCCCAAGGAGAGCAGCCCCTTCATCAACAGCACGGACACAGAGAAGGGAAAAGAGTACGATGGCAAGAACATGGCCCTGTTTGAGGTGGGCTGCTAGGGCTGCTAGACCCCACTCACCACTGCTCACCCTGGTTCATCAGCTGCTCCTTTCCTCCTCTCCATCCCTCCTTTTTTTTTTCTTCCAGAACCAGGGATTGAACTCAGGCCTTTGTGCTTGCCAGGGAAGTGCTTATTCCGCTGAGCCATCTGCCTGGCCCCTCCATCCCTCCTTATGTTCACCTTCTTCCTTGGGCTCCCCTAACCCTCCTCCCCCTTTCTGGCTTTGCTCCCTCGTGTCCCACCATTTCCTTTCCCCCATTTTCCCTGCCTATTCCTCTTCCTTTTTCATTATTTATTTATTTATTTATTATTTTTTTCCCTTTTCATCTTTTAAAAAATGTTATTTATTTATTTGGTACAGGGTCTCTCATGGTGGCATGCATGTAGTACTGGGGATCAAACCCAGGTCCTTGTGCTTGCCAGGCAGGCACTTAGGCCACTGAATTACCTCCTTAGCCCTCTTTCTCACCTTCTAACTTTAGTGGCTTTTACCCTTCCCTCTGCCCCCACTACCCAGCTCACCCCAGTCACTCTCTGCAACCACCCGCCTCCTAACACACTGGTACCCTTCCTCTGTAGGAGGAGATGGACACCAGCCCCATGGTGTCCTCTCTGCTCAGCGGCCTGGCCAACTACACCAACCTGCCCCAGGGAAGTAGGGAGCACGAAGAGGCAGAAAACAATGAGGGTGGCAAAAAGAAGCCGGTGCAGGTGCGGCCTGGGGGAGTAGGAATGGAGAAGGAGGGATGGGAGGAGGGATGGGGGAAGGCAAGACGGGAGAGAAAAAATATTAAAATGGAGGGATACTACAGAGGCAAAGGGGTGGGATTGGGGGCTGGAGGAGGGGAGGGAAAAGGTATAGAAATCAGAGGGAAGAGGGAGGAAGGGGTGAGGAAGGGGAGCAGGGAGAGGAAACTGGAGGAGGAGTGGGCTGGGGTGTTGGTAAGGAACAGGGACTGCAGAGATTGACGTTGGCTTCCCTGCAGGCCCCACGCATGGGCACCTTCATGGGCGTGTACCTCCCATGCCTGCAGAACATCTTTGGCGTCATCCTCTTCCTGCGGCTCACTTGGGTGGTGGGCATCGCAGGCATCATGGAGTCCTTCTGCATGGTCTTCATCTGCTGCTCCTGTGTGAGTGAGCCCTTCCCCCAGCAGCTGGGGCTTGGCAGAGGCCTGGGGGTGGAAAGCGGGAGGGTGAAAGGGCGACCTGAGCTTTTCATAGGAACCACTGCTCATGATGTTGGAGAGTAAATCAGGTCTGACTGGCCCATCCTGCCTCTCCGAGGCTTGGTTCTACCTACCAGGCTGCACCTGGGTCTGTACGTGTGTACAGTCACCCAAGTTGTGGAGATTCATTGTTGACAATGGTATGTGCAGAGGAAATGAAAATGCAGTTTGCCTATAATCTCATGATGGCTAACTTTGCTAGGCCCCAATTCCCAAAAAGAATGAGATTATGTACCACCAATAACACTGTCACTCTCCTCTCGTAAATATCAAATATTCACTGAGCACCACACTCTTGACACGTTTAGGTGTCCTCGCACACAACCTTGGGACAGCTCTGCATGGGAGGTAGCCAGTGCCGAAGCTGTTCTGCTGTTGTGTAGATGAGGAGACGGGAACTAGAGAAATGAAGCTTCAGGCCATGCGGCTGGTCACGGGCCAAGCTGGGGTGTCCAGAGCTCTCTCGTGCTGTAGCTTCTGCTCCTTCCATTCGCACGGTGAGCAAGAGGTTTTCGTGAGAAGAAGGACTTGGCATGAGTCAAAGTTGGAACAGGCCCAGGAAGAAGCTCAGCGGAAGAGAACTTGTGGGTTTGGCTAGTGTTTATGGGGGATATGGCTTGGCCTGCACCCAGGCCACTGCGGCCCCCAGCAGCTGCCGCTCTGATGTCCTCTTTCCTCACAGACGATGCTCACGGCCATTTCCATGAGTGCAATTGCGACCAATGGTGTTGTCCCTGGTATGTGACTGGGGTCTCTGGGAAGGAGGGGGGAGCCTGATGGTTGGAAGAAGGGACAGTGCCCTGGGCTTTTGGGGTCATCAACACCCAAGAGAAGCAGTATTGCAGAGCAGGGGATGGGGTGTGACTGGTTTGTAGCAAGAGCTCATGGGGTTGGGGGAGGGACGCAGTTGTCGGCATTGAACAGGGCAATGGCAGTCCTTCACCTTCAGCCCAAGACCCTCCTCTCCACCACTGTTTTCTGAGCCATTAGCAACATGGTAATCAGCACTGCAAAATCCACGCAGAGAGGTTGGCTGGGTATCCCAACAGGCTCCTTTCTGAGGGCTGCAGCTGAAGCCCAGATGAGTCCTGTTTTGTCCTGTGTCACTGAATCCCCCATCCTCCCCTAGAGCAGCCCAGTATCCCATGTCCCTCTTGCTGATACTAGGCTTTCTCTGCAGCTGGTGGCTCCTACTACATGATTTCCAGGTCTCTGGGCCCAGAGTTTGGGGGCGCCGTGGGCCTCTGCTTCTACCTGGGTACCACCTTTGCTGGGGCCATGTACATCCTGGGCACCATCGAAATCTTGCTGGTGAGAGGGGAGGAGGAGGAGGAGGAGGAGGAGGAGGAGGAGGAGGAGGAAGAGGTGTGGGATCCCAGGCTGTCAGCCAATTAACCACCACTCTCTGGACACCTCCTGTAGGCCAGGCCACTCAGTAAGGCCAAAGAGAAATCAGATGTGGTTCTATCTTGAAAGAGTTCCCAATCTAGTTGGGGAGACAAGATACAATAATTATGTAACACAAACAGCTGTCGTTTATCAAGCACCCACTGAGCTCTCAGCATAGTTTCAAGTGCTTTACAGTCATTATCTTGAATCCTCCCAAGGTTTGAGCATTATGATGCCCATTTTACAAATGCCAAGCTCAGAGAGGTGGGACACTTTGCTGAAGGTCACTCAGCTGTCCAGGAGGTGGCAGCAGGTAGGTTGACATGAGTTAAAGTAACAGTAGAAACGATAGCAACATCACACAGTAGTTGCCATTTTTGTGATTGCCTGCCACATGGTGGGGCTGTGCTGAGTACTCTAAACATGATAGGAGCAGAGGGCCAGGACAGCTGGACTGCAGACAAGAAGAGCCACGTGAGGGACATGGGCAAGAGCTGTGCTAGCAGCAGTGACTGAGGCGCCATGCTCCGAAGACAGAGGTGCTACCTCTGCTCTCAGTTCTTCCTGTAGGGTGGATGCTGGTGAGGGTTGTCTGGTTCACAGAAAGTGGAGGTGACATTTCATAGCCCGTAATGCCCTGCAAGCCCTCTGGAAGCAGCGTACTGTTTAGTTTTATGTGGGTAAATCTTGCATGAGTTAGAAGACAGCCATTTTACAGATGAGGAAAGCAAGGCTCGCAGAACTTAAGGAACATGTGGAAGGATGTGAACCAGCATCTTTCTGGTGCCGAAGCCACACTGCCTTGGAGAAGTAGATGGAAGGGCAATGGAAGGGCTCCTGGTTTTAGGGCAAGACAGAAGGAACCAAGGGTGGAGAGGATGAATGGACACTCAAAGGTCCAAAGGAGTGAATGATGCAAGAGGAATTAGAGGCCTCTGTGACTTAATTAAATATAAAAAAAGTGTTAAAAAGAAATTCTGGGCTGTGTATGTAGCTGAGTGATAGAACACTTGCTTAGCAAGCACAAAGCCCAGCACCATAACTAACTAAATAAATGGCAGTTATACCATTGCATAGAGTTGGAAAAATATCAAGGTAAAGAAAAAATGTTATTTTTTCTCTAACAGAAAAAAATAATTGCCAAAAGAAAATTACCATCAGATATTTTTGTATATTTCCTTCTAATTATTTTTCTGTGTGGCATGGTATTCTGTCTTTGGAAAATATAACTTCATACCATAAACATTCCCTTAACTGAAAATTCTCTTTCTGAATATCATTAGTGAAAATAACTTTTGTAGCCATATAAACAAAATATTTAGTATAGACTTTTAGAAAATGTAGATATATAAAAATTTTATCCACAGTTCAATTATTAAGGAAAAAGCACTGTTAACCTTTCTGTATCCTACAAATATACATACAGACATAACTCACACACACACATAAATATTTTACAGCTAAATTTCTGAAAATGAGAAAATAAGACATTTTAAAAGAACTTGATCATGTCCACCTAAAATAAGTAACCTTATCTATTTATTTACTTTTAGTGCTGGGGATTGAACCCAGGTCTTGTGTGCATGCTAAGTATCCACTCTACCATTATGATACATTCCAGTCCTGTACCATCTTTGATAGCTTCCTTTTTTTTTGGTGGTATCGGGGATTGAACTCAGGACCTTGTGCTTGCCAGGCAGGCACTTATGCCGCTGAGCTATCTCCCCAGCCCATTGACAGCTTCCTAGTTTGCACAGGAATATCACAATTGCTTTATCCAACCTCTGGTAATGAACATGTAGCTTTTTTCTCTCTTTCTATTAGAAATAATTAAAAATCATTAATAATAATTAATAACAAAAAATACAAATAAGCAGTTTCTCCCAACATCTTTGTGTTGCTATTGCTAAAATATTGCATCATAGCCCTTATGGGATGGGTCAGGCCTTACTTAGCCATCCCCTGGGATGGGAGGGAGAGGGTGTTACTTCTCATACTACACTATGTAATGTGCTATGTCCTTTTCCCCCAAAGCCCAACCCAAACTTTAGATTATGTCCTTGGGGTGACTTCAGCTGGTCCTTAGTGGATCACTTGCCTGACCATCTTGCCCATTTCCCACAGGCTTATCTCTTCCCAGCTATGGCCATCTTCAAGGCAGAAGATGCCAGTGGGGAGGCGGCAGCCATGTTGAATAACATGCGTGTGTATGGCACCTGTGTGCTCACCTGTATGGCCACCGTGGTATTTGTGGGTGTCAAGTATGTCAACAAGTTTGCACTGGTCTTCCTGGGTTGTGTCATCCTCTCCATTCTGGCCATCTATGCTGGGGTCATCAAGTCTGCCTTTGACCCACCCAACTTCCCGTGAGTGCTGCCTCTTTGAGGCTAAAGCATTTCTCTCTCCTTTCCTGACTCCATTTCTAGGTCTTTACACCAATCTCTGCCAAGTCCCCTTTCTCAAGCTCTCAGAATCTGGGTGATAAGGGTTGTGGGAGCCACTTGCTTTGGGAGGGAAAATCTCTCCTGGTTTGGGGGCAGTTTCTTCAGGATGGAATAACTGCTGGAAGTGGGAACAATTTTCCTTGTGAGAGTCAATGTTTGCTAATGGATTGACCTTAAGAATTTTTTTTTGTATTTTAGGGAAGGGTCTACAGGGTGTTCAGGGTCTCGCTACTAGATTGAACTCCTAGTGAGTCTCCTGTTTTTAGCCCCCCAAGAGCTGGGATTATAAGCACACGCCACCGTGCTCAGTCTCAGTTGCTGTCTCAGCATGCCCCAGAGGCGGTGAAGGCACAGCAGGCCCAGGGATCAAACCCCTGGCCCCTGTACCTACTTTGCAGGCACTTTAATCTGCTGAGCTCTTTGGATGGCCTGACCTTAAGAATTTAACGGGGAGAAAAATAACTTAGTGGGAAGGGCTTCTGAAGGGCTGAACGCTGTCATTTCCTGACAGGACCATCTCCTGGAATGGGACAGACCAAATTTTGGAAAACTTCTCTGGGATGGGAAAAGACAGAGAAGAGAGGGCTCAGGGCTCAGATCCTGGTTGGTTCTGTCACTCTCATAGAGCAGAGTTCCCTCCATTCCATGGGCCCAGAGAACGGCACTCAGAGGCCACTGTCCGTGGTGCTGAAAGAGCACCTTGCTTATGCAGTGCTTCTTCACTGTGGTGCCACATTAGAATTGTTTGAGGTTCTTTTCTGGGCTCCATTCAAATTAAAACAGACTCTCTGGATGTGGGTCTCAGCTATATGGTTTTTTCCCTTCAGCACTGGGGATTGAAATCAGGACCCTGTGCTTACCAGGCAGGCACTTACTCTTCTGAGCTATCTCCCCAGCCCCTGCCATATGCGTTTTTAAATGTCCCCAAAGGTTTTTTTTTTTTTTTAACTTTGACTCCAGGGCAAAGTCATGTCCCTCCTCATCTTCCTTGCTTGTTTTTCTCCCTAGGATCTGCCTCTTGGGGAATCGCACACTCTCTCGTCATGGCTTTGATGTCTGTGCCAAGCTGGCTTGGGAAGGAAATGAGACAGTGACCACACGTCTCTGGGGCCTTTTCTGCTCCTCCCGCTTGCTCAATGCCACCTGTGATGAGTACTTCACTCGAAACAATGTCACGGAAATCCAGGGCATTCCTGGTGCTGCCAGTGGCCTCATCAAAGGTCTGGGGGAGGAAAGAGGGATGGTATCCAGGGAGAACCACAGGGATTGTAGGTTAAGTGGTCAGAACTATGAGGCCCTCCTAGGGGTGGCAGTGCAATTCAATCAGCTTTAGTTTATCATTTGCTTTGGGCCATATTCTGTCCTGGACCTCTAGGGGGTAGAGATTTAAAAGGAAGCGAACCAGGCATAGTGATTCACACTTGTAATCCTAGCACTCAGGAGACAGAGGCAAGAGGGTCACTGCAAGTTGAAGGCCAGCCTGCACTACATAGCACAGCGCTGTATTTTAAAAAGAAAAGAAAAGAAAAGAAAAAAGAAGGGGGCAGTATTTCAGGACTAGTAGGAAAGGAAGTCAACAATGTAATAAGTATTCACTAAGCACCTACTAAGTACCTAGCAGTGAGAACACATAATAAAATAAGTCACAGTCCTTGGCCTCAAGGAATCTAGTGACAGAGAAAAATGTATTAGCAAATAAATTATGACACAAGTAGATGTGTGCTCAATGAACAGAGAACTCTCAGGGGAGAGAATGCTTTTGTGTGTCAGGTGGCATGACTAGGATTCCTGTACTTGAAATTTTTGAAGGACAAATAAGATTGTCAGTTCTATCAGGAAATAATAGAATCACAAATCAAAAAGAAGCTGGCTTAAAGCACGCAGACAGAGAGCAGCATATTACGTCCTCCCAATCATAAGTAATTTGGTATGATTGGGGACTAAAGTGCAAAGGAAGAAGGGCAAGAAGTTATGTTGGAGAGCATGGCATGGGCCAGATTGTGGCAGGCCTTGGAAGGCATGTGGAGAGGTTTCGGCTGCATTCTGAAGCAGGAGGGGTCCAGGAGTCCAGAGGAAGCTGATACTGTGAGCCCAGGAAAGAGACTAGAGTTTCCTTAACTAGGGAGATGAAGGGATATCAGTGGGAATAGGACAAAGGCTTTTTATTCAGGGCTGTTTTACCTCCTGAGAAGTATCTGGCCACATCTGTACAGTTTTGGTTGTCAGGACTGGAGAGATGCTACTGCCTTTGGTGGGAAGAGGCCAAGATGCTGCTGGGTTGTCTATATTTTACAGTGCTATGGGGCAGCTTTCTTGGCAAAGAGTCATCTAGCCTCACATGCCACTGGTGCCAAGGGGGAGGAACACCTGAATGGAGAGAAGGGACATCTTGAAACATTAGGGTTCATGGGCAGAAGTTGGAGATGTTTTGTGGTAGGGGGAGGGGTAGGAGTGATTGAGATCAAGGCCAAGGTATCTGAATGGAGGGGGTGCTATTGCTGAGATATGAGGTGCAGAGAAGGTCAGAGGGAATGATAAGACAAATCTGGGTTATACTGAGTCATTCTGAGGTAGGTCTTTATGTGTCTACCTCGCTCAATTAAACTATTTGAAGGCAAGCACTGAGTCAGATTTATCTGTGAAACCTTTGGCCCAAACCAGGAGCATAAGAAATGTTGGTGGGAATAAAATACAGCCAGAGGGAGTAAGATGTGATTGGCCTTCACCCTTACTTTTGTATCCATTCCACCTCCTTGCCCCAGAGCCTTCATCCTGAGCATTCTCTCTGCCCACAGAGAACCTGTGGAGCTCCTACCTGACCAAGGGGGTGATTGTGGAGAGACGTGGGATGCCCTCAGTGGGCCTGCCAGATGGCACCCCCATCGACATGGACCACCCCTATGTCTTCAGTGACATGACCTCCTACTTCACCTTGCTGGTTGGCATCTACTTCCCCTCGGTCACAGGTGAAGGGGAGCTCAGAGAGGGAGGACTCTGCCTGGGACAGGATGGGCAGGAGAAGAAAATGATGAGGCTGGGAATTCTTAAACTAATAACCCCCTCAGATAAGCAGGAGGCAACAGTTCAGTCCCACTGGGAGATGAGGAAATGAAGTCTGGAACGTGGCCTAAGAACTTACATGAGTCAATGTGCCAGGATGAGGCCCCAGGCTCCCGGCCCTGAGATCTGTCCTTTCTCCTCTCTTGGTCTGGTCTCCTATGGCCTGGCTCCTGTCTGAGCTGCTCCTCTGTTTGCAGGGATCATGGCTGGCTCTAACCGCTCTGGAGACCTTCGGGATGCTCAGAAGTCCATCCCAACTGGCACCATCCTGGCTATCGCCACCACCTCTGCTGTCTGTATCCTGTGCTGCTGGGCTGGGAGCACCCTGGATGGGGAGTGCTGGAGGGGTTGCAGCTGAGGTTGCTGCCTTACCTGGCTGTTCAGGAGAAGTTGCAGGGGGTGATGCTCTACTTTGGGGTTTCTCCTTTATTCTCTGCTGCAGATATCAGCTCTGTTGTTTTATTTGGGGCCTGCATCGAAGGGGTCGTCCTACGGGACAAGTAAGTGAGAGAATTAGGAGGGATGGGCACATGAGACTGAATTCTGGGAAACAGACCTGGCAGGGGAGCTGGGACCGGTTTAAGGGGCTTGTGGGAGGGAAGCCACTAGGGTTGCTTGCCAACTCACCTTATTATTATATTTTATCTTTTTCATGTGATTTCAGGTAAGGAAGCTTGATGTCTCATTTCCTTTAGGATAATGATGTTTTCCTTTTCTTTTGTTGAAAACTTTATTAATTTATTAACATTGATGGAATGTTTATATATTGGTCACTGCCTAGGGCTCTAGGGGGAGCAAAGATAAATGACACACAGTTTTTGTCCTGGGGGAGTTCTTTTGGCATAGTGATCACACTTGTTAAAAGAGTTTAAATGCGGAGTAGGAAGAGTGGCTATAAATAAGACCGCAAGGGCCCTGGGAGCTCACAGAGGACTTCAACCCAGTCCTGCAGAGACTCAGAAAGGCTTTCTGAATGAGGTGAGGTTGGAAGTGTCTTAGGCATCTTGAAGTTGGTCTTCTACCAACCAGGTACTGAAAGTATTTGAAAGTGCACAGGTGTAGGCCTTCTTTTCTGCCATTATTCCTGAAACAATATAGCAGAACAGCTATTTCCAGAGCACTTACAGTATGTTAGATACTGTAAGAAATCCCAAGATGATTCAAAGTGTGTGCGAGAAGGGCTGGTGAGATAGCTCAGCCGACTAAGCACCTGCTTAGGCAAGTGCATGGAGCGGGGTTCACTCCTGGCATCACATGCTGAGCTGGCCCCACCCCTGGGTGCACTGAGCCAGTGACGGAGACTAGTCCCAGGGCTGGGGAGGCTGAAAACAGGAGGATTACTATGAGTCTGGGCTGCGTAGTGAGACCCTGTACCAGATACTTTAAAAAAAGAAATTATATGGGAGAATGTGCGTAGGTTATGTGCTAGTATCCTACCAGTTTACATAAGACACTTGAGCATCACAGAGTTGGTGTCCACCCCTGGTAGACTGCTGAGGGACAGTTGTATCTTGTTCAGGTTTCCATTTTCAGTGTTGAGCAGAGATTAGGTAGCTAGGATGGGAAAGGACTTTGCGGGCAGTGAGGACATTGAAGTGCCTTTCTGCATGTATGTGTGCTTGTGGGTGTGTATGTGGCTGTAAGCAACTCAGTGCCCTAAAGCCCTTCCTTCTGAAGGGCAAGTGTGTTCACTGTGAGTGGGGGAAAGAGTGAGGTTTCATCACAGAATCACTTTCCGGGGCACCCCTGGCCTAGGTAAGTTAAAGCATGAGGAGTGTGAGGCTGGAGCCTGGATGCAGATGACACTGCAACTTTGCTTCGGTATTCTTGGTTAAGTGGAGGAGACCCTGAAAGGTTTTAAACAGGGTAATGACGCAGTCAAGTGGGCAGCGTGCATCTGTCACCCCTGCTAGTTCTAGGGCAGTGTGACTGCTGCTTCATCTAATCACAGGCCTTGCACGAGACTGCGCAGCAGATCACGCACTGCAGTTCTTGCTTGGAATTTTGTAGTCTTCCGCCAGTGGTCCCTCTGAGCATGTCTCCAAGCACGGAGTTCTTTAACTACCGAGGCAGCATCTTCCACTTTTTCCCTCCCTCCCTTCCTCCCTTCCTCTTTCCCTCTTTTCTTCCTTCTTTTCCTTTAAAAAAAATTTTTTTTTTTGAGAACCACTGTCATTATGCTAAACTCAAACTCCTGGCTTTAGGTCCCCACCCCTGCCTTGGCCTCTTAAGCATCTGGGACCATAGTGTATGTGACCCACTATGTCCAACTTGCATTGCTTCTTTTTGAGACAGTGTTGTTATTAGAAAATTCTTTTTTGAGGAGAGGGGCATTTCTTATAATATCACTACATGATGAGGCCAGAGCCTCATTTTCTACATGGAGATACAGATCCTAGCAGTCTCAGGATGATGTTATACTAGAATGACATCGGCACCATGTTCTGGGTATGTTACTAAGCATATTATATATGGAACCTCTTTTTCCTCCTTCCCCTCAGGAATTGTATGAGATAGGCTTACAGTAGGTCTTGTTTTCCAGCTAAGAAAACTGAGACTCAGAGAGGTTCAAAGACTTTCTCAAGGTCACACAAGCAGGAAGTGCCCAGGATATTTGGATCTTGTCTGTCATCTGACCCTCTATAGAGCCCAACCTTGTGGGCAGCAGAGCTAGTCCTGCAGTTGATGTGGGGAGACCCATGCTGGAAATGCAGGTAGCAACGCTCACCCAGCTTCTCCTATCTCCGTACTGCAGATTTGGTGAAGCTGTGAATGGCAACCTGGTGGTGGGTACACTGGCCTGGCCTTCACCCTGGGTCATTGTCATCGGATCGTTCTTCTCTACCTGTGGGGCGGGGCTGCAGAGCCTCACGGGGGCCCCGCGTCTGCTGCAGGCCATCTCCCGGGACGGCATAGTGCCTTTCCTGCAGGTCAGTGTGGGCAGGAGAGTAGCCTCACCCAGTAGCTCAGCTGGCCAGGCCCCTGCCCAGAGACTACCCAGTGAATGAGGGCCACTGTCAGCCCTGAGCTGCCTCCTAGGCACTTCTGTCCAGCATGGTACTGAGAGGAAGGGGTGGAATTTACTCAGGATTTGGCCCACGGTCAGTCCAGCTCTTGGAGCATCTTCTGCTCTCAGGAGAAGAACAACAAGTGTCCTTCTGGCCCCAGTGGCTGGTCAGGGACTTAGAGGGGGAGTCAGAGTACAGGAAGAAGGCAGTTCTTTCCATGGTGCTGAAATAAAGATTTATAGAGCACCAATCAGGACTGCTTCTGGCCTCCTGATGGCTCCTTTCTTGTCTGCACTACTAGAGCATCTTTTCCCTGCAGTGGTCCTTTGAGCTTCATTGCACTTGGGTGCCAAATTCAGGTGGCAAAAGCCTGCTATCCTGTTACATTTCCTAGAGGATGAGAATACAGCCTCGTCTGTCTACCTTTTCCCTGGATGCAGGATTCCTCCCTGTACTCCACTGGTTCCTAAGACAAGAAGTCCCTAAGGACCAGTGCCCAATACGGTTGCTCTGTCCCCAGGTCTTTGGCCATGGCAAAGCCAATGGAGAGCCGACCTGGGCCCTGCTGCTGACCGCCTGCATCTGTGAGATCGGCATCCTCATTGCATCCCTCGACGAGGTCGCCCCCATCCTCTCCATGTGCGTGTCTGGCTTTGGTCCTCCCCATCAGCTCCTTGTGCTTCTCCACCAGGGTTCTCCAGCTGGGACCCTGATCGCCCACCCAAACACTTTAACATCTCCAAGAAGTTTCTCACTGGTCAGAGAAGCCCATCCTCTGCTTACAGATTTATCCCCGTAGATGCCTGGATGTGTTGTAGAGGACTTGGTCTTTGAACCACTTCCTAAGCACCAGTGCATCATTTCCCCCCTTCCTGCCTTGTTTCTGGGCCTTGTTTCTGTTTCTGCACCCCCTTTAGCATCTCTGTTTCTCTTGGGCGTCTTTCTGTGTTCTAGGTTCTTCCTGATGTGCTACATGTTTGTGAACCTGGCCTGTGCTGTGCAGACATTGCTGAGGACGCCCAACTGGAGGCCACGCTTTCGCTATTATCACTGGTGGGTGCTCTGTCCTGCCCCTCACCCCACTAAACCATTACTCACTTCCACTCAGATCCCACTCCCAGCCCATTCCCTCCAGGTCTAAAGAGCCCACACTTGAAGAAGACACCCCATTTTATCTAGTTTTTTTAAAAAAAATATTTATTCATTTATTTATTTGTTTGTTTGTTTTGTGTTTGTGTCGCCAGCTCAGTCCACCAGGGGGCGGGGGCTGGCTGGCATGTGGTGCTGGGGGATTGAACCGCGGTCCCTGTGCTTTGCTTAGCTTAGCTTGTTCTAAGTAGGTGCTTTAGACCACTGAGCCATCTCACCAGCCCCTATCTAGTTTTGTAGTCTAGCCAGTATGAGAAAAATCCTGGAGAAGGTCTCTGTATAGCCGTGACTAATAATATAGCACAACTTGAGACCTACTGCAGCTGCTCTGCTGCGGTCTTACAATATAGTGTGGAGGTGAGGGTCAGTCCCACCTGAATTAAAGACATGACTGCATGTCCTGACTGTCAGGCCTTGGGCTGACGACAGAGCTCTCAGCACTTGGTCTCCCCACCTGTGCTATGGGCATGGGAGTGGCACCTCTCTCCCGGGCTCTGGTGAGCACGTGAGTGCTGGTGTAGGGCAGATGGGCTTCCCAAGGAGGCTGCAGTTCTTGCTGTGTCAGTGCACAGCTTTTCATGCCACCGTGGAGCTGCAGGAGTAACAGGAACTCAAGCAGAGAAAGGGACCCGCCCAAGGCCAAATGGGGTGATGACAGTGCCACAGGACTAGCACCTGCTTTGCTGAGAGTCTCTTCTTGGAGCGTCTGCTTATGACTTCTCTAGAGACCCCTGCCCAGAGCAACCTGGCTAGGACTGTCTGGCAGGTTCGAAGGCACAGGGACAGGGAGGTGTTGTGACTCAGGAGGTGGGGGTGCAGAGCGCCCTGCCAGGTTCACACACAAGTGCTCTGGTGCCCATAGTGTGAGTGCCCTTAGACCTGGCTGTGGGCACCCAGGTCTTTCTTAGGCTCTGTTGCACCTCTTGCTGGAAGCCCAGCTCCAGTACCAGGGCTGAGAGGCTGGGTCTCTCTCCATGTCCAGGACCCTCTCCTTCCTGGGCATGAGCCTGTGCCTGGCCCTCATGTTCATCTGCTCCTGGTATTATGCACTAGTGGCCATGCTTATTGCTGGACTCATCTATAAGTACATCGAGTACCGTGGGTGAGTGTGGGGGACATGGGCAGGGCTGAGGGGCAGGAGCCGTGGTAGGCATGGTGCTGAGGCAGAAGGGGACAGATCAGGGCTGGGGTGGAAGGAGGAAAGGGTGGGATTGGGAGGTGGGGACAGAGGCTTTGAGAAATGCATGGAACAGGCGAGAGAACAGATTCAGAAGTAAGTTTCCAAGGAAACAGCCCAGGCTTGATTGAGCCAGGTGGCAGGAGTGACAGGCCTATTGTTTTTGAGCCTGGGATAGATGGCTGTGCTCCGGGCAGCCAGTTCTGTGTGGATGCCTCTCCCTGTCAGTCTCTGGCCTCATGCTGTCCCCTTCCTGGCCCCCAGGGCAGAGAAGGAGTGGGGCGATGGCATCCGAGGTCTGTCTCTCAGTGCTGCCCGCTATGCCCTCTTGCGCCTAGAGGAAGGGCCCCCGCACACCAAGAACTGGAGGTGAGTGGCGAGGGCACAGGAGCAAGGGCTCAGGGTAGAGTCAAGAGTGCAACAGGGTCAGACTCATCTGCTTGCTCTGTTTTGCTGAGTGGCACTAGACAAGCCTGGCCTTGCCCGATCTGAGTCTTGGGCATGTGTTCTCCAAAGGCTGTCCCCCATGCCATCCACCTGATCATCTACTCATCTATTTATTCAAAAAACTTGTGGACGCATGATCTGTGGCAAGCTGCCTCCCAGGCCCTAGGGATATGGTGAGGTCACAGTTCCGTGGCGATGCTCACAGAGCCAGATAACCATCACATCTTGTAGCATTTGCCCTCTCACTTTGAGAGCAGCAATAGCATCTTAGGAATCTCTAGATTTTATTCACATGAAGTCAGGAGCCAGAGAAGGTCTCGGGGGTCCCAGGAGGAAGTGGGGTCGGCATCCTCCCCTCCTGTCTCTCAGCCTTGGTGCCTTCTAACTGGCTGCCCTATCTGCCCATCCCTTCCCCATCTCCCCAGGCCCCACCTTGCAGGATAAGGCTGCAACTCTGAACTAGGCATAGGAACTGTTGCCTTGTCCTTGTTGAGAGCTTTGCATTGCTTGTCTGTGAATTCTCAGATGATCAGCCGGGGTCGAGGCCAGAGCAGGTCTCAGAGGGGCGGGGTGGATGAATGAATTAAGGTGGTTAAGGGAAGAAGGAAATGAACGGGTAACTAGTAGTAGGATGGATAAGTGTATATCTATAGAGGAGGGTAGTGGTTAAATAGATGGATGTGGGGATGGGTAGCAGGTAGGTGAATGTGTGGGTAATTGAGTGAATGAGGCACATGCATGTAAATTAATACAGATGTGAGTGGATGGCTGAAGAGTGAAAGGGACGAGGACATGGACAGAGAGTGTCGTAGGTGGATGGAGAGGGGGTGAGCGGGTGCATGGATACATGGCGGGATGGATGAAGCCCTTGCCCAAGGAAATGTGTGGCTGGGTGGATGCTAAGCCAGATATGTGGGCAGTGGGGCAGCAGTGGGTGGTATACAGGGACAGTGGCTAAGAGAGTGACCATGGGAGGAGGGCAGGTGGCTGGTGGGGAGGAGGTAAGTGGGTCACATGACTCTGCACCCTCTGCAGGCCCCAGCTGCTGGTGCTGGTGCGCGTGGACCAGGACCAGAATGTAGTGCACCCCCAGCTGCTTTCACTGACCTCGCAGCTCAAGGCGGGGAAGGGCCTGACCATTGTGGGCTCAGTCCTCGAGGGGACCTTCCTGGACAACCACCCCCAGGCCCAGCGGGCAGAGGAGGTGAGCAGAGACCTGCGAGTGGGGGAGGCCCACACATCAGGAAGTTACCCTCAGCCCCTGTGCACTCTCCTTCCCACACCTTTGGATCAAAGTGGGCTCAGCATCTGCCTTTTTTCTTAGAAGAGGAGCCTGAGGGCCCAGAGAATGAGTTCCTTGAGATTCGAGCCACAGAGCCCAAGAGCATCAGAGCCAAAGGGCCCATTTTATGGATAAAGAAACTGAGGCTTAGAGAAGTCAGGTCACCTAAGGACAAAAAACTGAGACTGAAATTAGGACTGCTTGACACCCACTGCAGACTTCTTCCTGCCAAAGTATAAACATTTCAAAGTGTTTTCACATTCGTGGCCTCTTCCAAGAGACAATGGGTGGAGTTGGCAGGGTGAGTCCCCACAGTGGATGGAGGCCGAAACCGAGGCACAGGCAGGGACAGCAGCTTATGGGAAGTCACAAAGTTGGCTGGAAGCCGAGTCAGGTCCCTGGCTCTGTGTCACCTCTTTTTGGCTCTATCCCTGGTCTACACCCGCAGAGCAGCTCATGGAGCTTGTGTGGGATGCGGCAGCCCACGCCGGCATTAAGTGCCTAAGAGGAGTTGGAACCCACGGGCAGTAGAGGAGGGAGAATGAGCCTGTGAACTGGCCTGTCCTTGCAGGGCTGTAGCTGGGAGTAGAGACAGCAAAGGGGCTGAGGGAGTCGAGGTTTGGCAGAGGAGGGGCGCCCCTAATGGCTTGTGACAGTTGCTGTTTCTGCCTCACTGAGCCGTTCACACCAATCTGTCAAGACCTGGAGCTGGAGACCTGGACTCATCAGCACAGTTCAGCACACAGTGGCTGAGAATGTGCTGTGGACCAGGCACCAGGCTAGGCACGGGGCCTATGGAGATGTTCACAAGCAAGTGCCAGCTTGTGAGGTGGCCAGAGGCTGTTGGGGGAGATGGAGCCAGAAGGCTGATAATGACCTGGCTGCTGCGGAACACTGGGGTAGGGTTAGAGACAGCACAGCGACACAGTGGGTCTGTGTTCCCCATATGGTAGGCAGTGCGCCACGTTCTGTCATCTTCCCTATGCCTAAGTGAGGTGGCTGTCACAAGCCCTGTTTGACAGATAGGCACAGAGGTTAGGTGACTTGCTCAAGGTCACAGTCAAGAGGTGGCAGAGGTAGAAATTAACCTCTATCTGTTTGACATCGGGGCAGTGGAGTAGAGGGGGGAGCAGTGGTTGGAGAGAGATTTTTAGGATTTGAGTCTCCACAGTGTCACTGGCTGTGTATGCTGAGCAAGGCTATTTTCTCCAGCCTCCATTTCTTCATTCATAAAGAGGGAGTAGTGAGAATGCTTCCTTCAGTGCAGGTTGAGCATGCATTTAAAATGCTTATCACAGCTCGGTGTGGTGGTGCATGCCTCGAATCCCAGCACTTAGGAAGCTGAGGCAGGAGCCCTGACACAAGTTTGAGGCCAGCTTGGGCTACATAATGAATCACACAGTGAGATTCTGTCCCCCACCCCTTTCCCCATAGAGCTCATCACTCTGTTACTTAAGAAGTGTCCAAACAAATTGGCCAAGCAGAGAAAGAAGCCCAGCTTAGCACTGGTCTGGGTGGAGGGCTTGTCTGGAGAAGGTAGCATTTGAATAGGGTGAGACAGGATGAAGCACAGCAGGCAGGGGTGTGTCGGGCAGAGGGGAGAGCCAGGAGGAGTGGGGCCTGAGGCTGCTGCTTCCCTGTACCTGCCCCAGTCTATCCGGCGCCTGATGGAGGCCGAGAAGGTGAAGGGCTTCTGCCAGGTGGTGATCTCCTCCAACCTGCGTGACGGCGTGTCCCACCTGATTCAGTCTGGAGGCCTCGGAGGGCTGCAGCACAACACTGTGCTTGTTGGCTGGCCCCGCAACTGGCGGCAGAAAGAAGATCACCAGACCTGGAGGAACTTCATTGGTAACACTGTGGTTTGGGTGCAGAGGAGGATGGCAGTGGGCTTGGTTGGGCCTCACAGTGTAGCACACGTGTGGCTTGGATGTGCTCACAGCTGGCCTCGTGCCAGCCACTGAGTGGGGTGTGGAGCCTCAGCTGTGTGGGGGACAGTCATGGCTCTGTGTGGCTCACAGGACCTGGGAGGTGGAAAGGGCAAGGTGCGGGGGGAGGCACAGCCCTGCAGTGGTGGTGGCTCGGTCTGCATCTCAGCTCTGTTCTTCCTGTCCACGTGACTATGCCCACATGGTTCACGCTGTCTGAGCATTATATTCCGTGGTAATAGCCAGGAATCGCAATATGAAAACTAACCTTTAAAGAATGTGCTCTGTGTACCTGACCAGTTCAGCCTGTTCCTATTTCTTTCATCAGTTCTGAGGGCTACTGCTGTTATTGCCATGTGATTGGTGAAAGGCTGAGGCACAGAGTGGTGAAACAGCGGGCCTCAGGTCACACAGCTAGGATACTGGGTTTGAACCAGCCCAGAGGTTGCACTGTTAACTTGAAGCAACTGTATCTCCTTTAAGGATTCTGCGAAGCCATGCATGGTGGATTCTTAATAAACAGAAAGAGCAAGAGGTGTTATTGACATTTGACAGATAGGAAAACTAAGGCCCTGCGAGGTTGAGGGACTGTCTTAGACATGAGGCTCAGGCTGTTGCTAGTTTTTTTGATTACTTAGCCCAGGGCCAAGGCCAGGAAGGGTCGGGTAGGGTGTCAGGGGCCTTTGGGGCTGCTGCTGGGCATTGGAGAGACCAGAATCACCTTTGCCTCGTTGGTCTTCTCCTTGATCTCCCTAGAACTGGTCCGGGAAACGACAGCTGGCCACCTGGCCCTGCTGGTCACCAAGAATGTTGCCATGTTTCCTGGGAACCCTGAGCGCTTCTCTGAGGGCAGCATCGATGTCTGGTGGATCGTGCATGACGGAGGCATGCTCATGCTGCTGCCCTTCCTGCTGCGGCACCACAAGGTGCGTGTGTGGATGCGAGTGCAGGTGTGAGTGTGTATGTGTGTGCGCGCACACGCGCGCTTCTGTACAACCTGGCCTTGGTCAGCCCTCACATCCTTCCTCTCTTGTGAGCTCCTGGGACGGGGATCTGATCACCTCCTGTGTTCCAGGATGTTAGGAATTGGTTGTGTCTACTTACAGGTGCATTGCTGTAAAGGTAAGCAGTGCGTACCCAAGCAAGCAAGTGTTACTTTACTGGGGAACCTCAGCTTTCAGTGGGGGAGGCTTGGCAGGGAGTGGCTCCTTAGATAAAGGGCTTCAGATCTGCTCGTGTGTGTGTGTGTGTGTGTGTGTGAGAGAGAGAGAGAGAGAGAGAGAGAGAGAGAGAGAGAGAGGGAGGGGCAGGCAGGCTGGGCGAGTGGACCAGGTCCTCTGACCACACTTCTCCTGATGGCACTGGGGTTAGACATTCTCGGATCCACTTCACTCCTTGCAGGTCTGGCGCAAGTGCAAGATGCGAATCTTCACTGTGGCCCAGATGGATGACAACAGCATCCAGATGAAGAAGGACCTGACCACATTCCTGTATCATTTGCGTATCACCGCAGAGGTGGAGGTGGTGGAGATGGTGAGTCTTCCAGAGCCTTTGAAGTTCCAGAGCCCCCCTGCCATTCTTTATGCCAACATATGTAATGGCAAGCCCAATGCCCATACAGAGAAGATGCTGAATTCCATCCCCCCTCGCCCACCTCTCGGCTTCTCACACTCAAGAGGTCATCCATCCATCCCTTTCTCTCATGAAAACAGACATGTCTAATAGTACACTCTCAATGCCAGGCACTATTCTATGTGCTTCATATACAGTAATTCCCACAACAGCAAGTGGGACACATAGAATTACAAGAATTCCCATCTTACAGATTAGAATATTGAGGCACAGAAAGGTCAAGTAATTTACCCCACAACATACAAGAAGTGGTAGATCAGTATTCAAACCCAGGCAGGCCAGCATTATAGTCTGTCTCTAGTGGTTACACCATGTGACCTCTTGCCCATCCATCTCCTCCAACTGATTCGTGCATCCACCCAGCCCTCTGTGTACTCATTCATCTCTACCCATCTATTCACTGATGCACCTGTTCTCCCATTTCTCTGTTCATCCATGTATGTATCCATTCATCCTTTTGTTCTTTTTCTTACTTCTTCATTCACTCAGGTAATTAATTCACATACTCACCCATTAGTTCATCCATTCACACGCCTGCGTTAAACAGAATGAACTGCATACTTGCCCAGGTCATTGCCCTCTCTGCTCTGTCTTTGCCTCCTGCAGTGATGGGTGAAGCTAGGGCATGGGATAGGCTGGCAGGAGGAAGGGGGCCGCCCCCATCCCTTGGCCCTGCACCTGAACTCAGAACTTGTGCTTTCCTCCCCTGCCCCTCTCTACCCACTTCTCCCTTGCCTGCCCACAGCATGAGAGCGATATCTCAGCTTACACTTATGAGAAGACATTGGTGATGGAGCAGCGTTCCCAGATCCTTAAACAGATGCATTTGACCAAGAATGAGCGTGAGCGGGAGGTAAGTTCACCTCGGTGGGGTTCTCAGGGCCATGAGCTGCTGCCAGCTACTCAGATATCACTCTACTCGGATACAGGACGGGCCAGCTCTGGCTATTGGCTTGCTGCCTTCACCCCTGGCACCTGCTTTCCCTCCACCCTACCTCCTGCCCTGGTTCCTCGGCAGTGGGAGTGCACACTACTATTGTACTTGCCCAGGCCTCCAACCAGAGCACAGGGACCTTTGCCTGTGGGATAGAGATCCCTTTCTTTATGGGATTTCTGGGGCTTAGGGGGAGAATAGTAGATGCTAAATATGTATAGATGACAATTTCTGAGGGGTGTGGGCTGCCAGTGTGGGAGACAAGTGTTCATGGAATAGGCTCTCAGAAAGTGGGTAACAGATGGCTATTTAGAGATATAGCTGATGAGTAGGAGTTAGGGGCAAACTTCCCAGGGTGTGGTTGATGGATTCTCAGGGGTAATGATGATGGGCCCCCATATGGCATGGATGTAAGATCTGTGTGGATCATGAGTATGGATGAGGGACCCACACCAGGGAGTGGGATTCTTGGGGGAATGAGTGATGGTCCCTCAGGACTGGAGACAGATAGCTCCTGGAGGTGGGAGATAGCTAGTTCATTTGGGTAACGGGTGGCAGGCCCTGTAGGGTATGACAGCAGAATCATGGCTTATGAGTTTCCCAGGAGTTGATAACATGTTTCTCAGAATGTGATTGATGGGAAATTATGGAAATGAGTGGTGGGTACCTCTTTGAGCTGGGATAGATGGACCATGCAAGGGTAGGAGTGTTTCCTGGGGGTGGCAGTACCTAGGAGACATGGCAAGTGCATCGACTGCCCAGAACTGATGCGGACCATGGTCCTAGGCCAGAGTGTAGCTGGGCCAGGTGGCAGGGAGGCTTGGAGCCCTGGAGAAGGGTGGCCAGATTGGGTGCAGCAGCTGTTGGATCTTGAAGCACTGCACTGTTTTAACAGCTGGTGCATTTCAGCCCATCCTGGCTGAACATCGGCTGTGTGGTAGCTCTTGGCAGGGCATAGGTGGTGACTTGCAGCCGAGCTGGCAACCTGTGTCATTCCTTAGATCCAGAGCATCACAGATGAGTCCCGAGGCTCCATCAGGAGAAAGAACCCAGCCAACACCCGGCTCCGCCTCAATGTCCCAGAAGAGACAGCTGGTGATGGCGAGGAGAAGCCAGAGGAGGAGGTGTGCAGCTTGGGGGGTTTGGTTTGGGCCACTGGGAGAGGAACATTTGCCACCAGAATGGTGGTCACCCTTCATTCATCCCTCAGGTGCAGCTGATTCATGATCAGAGTGCTCCCAGCTGCCCCAGCAGCTCACCATCCCCAGGGGAAGAACCTGAGGTGGAAGGCGAGACAGATCCTGAGAAGGTGCATCTCACCTGGACCAAGGACAAGTCGGCGGCGGAAAAGAATAAGGGTCCCAGTCCTGTCTCATCCGAAGGCATCAAGGACTTCTTCAGCATGAAGCCGTATGGGCCTGAGCACTGGGGCTGGGGCTGGGCTGGCCAGCTAGAGGGAATTGCTCACCATAGCAGAAAGAACTAGAGGGAGGGGTCCTGGCCTGGCAGTGGGCAAACCCAGCCCTGGTGCTGCCCTCGGTTCCTTCCTCAGAGGACTGGAGAGCTGGGCCTGATTGCTAAGTGTCAGGACTGCATGTGAGAGGAAGGTGTAGGAAGGCGAGGGAGGGACTGTAGGCTCTGGAAGAGCAGGGCCGGTATCTGCCCAGGGCAGCGGGTGTGGCTCATACTCCAGCCTCTTTGTTTTCCTGACCCTTCTCTTTTTTCTTTCTCTCTTTGCTTCTGTTGTGTTTCCTGCAGGGAGTGGGAGAACTTGTAAGTGCTTCCGCATTTTTTTCATCTTCTCTCCTAGGTTGGCCAGGGTCTCTACTGGCCACACTCTCATGGATCCCCAAGGGATGGCCCTGACCTCCCGGGCCTCTGAATAGCCCAGTCTGGAGAGGCCGGCGGGTTGGAGCAGGCCCCAGCAGCCTAGTTGTGGCCACAAGGGCTTGCTCCCACAGCCTCACGCGCTCTCCTCCCCTCGGTCCTCCCACAGGAACCAGTCCAACGTGCGGCGCATGCACACGGCTGTGCGGCTGAACGAGGTCATCGTGAATAAATCCCGGGACGCCAAGCTTGTTTTGCTCAACATGCCCGGGCCTCCTCGCAACCGCAATGGTGACGAAAACTGTATCCTGGGTGTAAGATTGGGGGGAGAGGGAGGTGGACTTTAGGGAACCTGGGTCGTGGCTTCGGGATGCGAAGGGCTGAGCCGGTACTGCGTCCATGTCAGCACCTCGGGCAGGGACGCGGGTGCCAGAGTTCCACGCGACCTCAGTTCCTCGGGAGGCAAGGGGCACGGATTTTCTCCTTGACGGGCGCTCAGACATGGAGTTCCTGGAGGTCCTCACAGAGCACCTGGACAGGGTGATGCTGGTCCGCGGCGGCGGCCGCGAAGTCATCACCATCTACTCCTGAGGGCCAGGACCTGCCCACCCGGGCCGAGCGCGCCCAGCCCGCGGCCCCGGAGCCCCTTGCCGCGCCCCCCGCCGCTGTCACCGTTTACATACAGATCCTGTGCCCGAACCCTGGCCCCTTTCCCCGCTGCCTGAAGCCTGGAGGCCACGCCCGTCGGGGATGACTCAGAGAGGACGCCAGGAGGACGGAGACCAGAGCCCTGAGCGCCCGCTATCCCGTGGGTCTGTGGCCGCGGTTGCGCTGCCTTTTTTCTAAATCTGGCCTCGCCCCTCTGGAGGAGACGCTGCAATAAACGTCGGGAGCAGGCGCGAAGAGAGGAGCTGGGGCCTCGAGGAGCCCCGGGTAGTCCCCGCAGCCCCCTGCCCTCCCTCCTCCCGCTGCGGTCCTCGCTCTACGTCTCTGCGCTGCTGCGATGGCCGAGAGGCGCGCGGGTGCGAAGGTCGCGTCTCCACCGCCCCTTCTCGCTGAGCCGCGGGGCGCGGCCGAGCCTATACATAGTGTACAGGAGACATCGCGTGTATTTTTAACGTCCCATATTTATGTAACTAGAAGCGCAATGGACTTCTCGCCACAGTCGAGCTCTCCCGTTGGGGGCACCCAGGGGAGCGGGGGCCTCGGGAAGCTGGGTTTTCCTTGACGTCCGAGACTGAGAGCCGAAGTGCTTTAGGCTCAGGCGGGGGTCGAGGCCCTGGTCCCTCGACACCCCCGCCCTGCTCTCGTTCCGCGTTGGCTTCCCTCTCTTCCCTCCAGTTCTTATCAGAGACAAGGTGAGACAAATGTCCAGCTTTTCCTGGATTCGCCTCCCCGCGGATGAGTTTCCACTGCGGCTGCAGAGACGCGCGTCTGCTCGACAGATCTTATGCAAGTTGGGGCCAGGATAGGGGAGGAGCGATCCTTAAGGGGAGAAACCCGGAGAGGTCCGCGCCCCACCGAGGAAGCCCCGCCCCGGTGCCTTCGCTGGGGAGCAGGCATCTCTCCTCAGTTGGCTTGTCGCCTGCTCCCCCGTTCCATGGCTCCTCGCCAAAGACTGAAATCGTGGAGCTGGAGGCAATTCTAGTTTAGGGGCCAGACCCACTGGGAGGCCCGAGAACCTCCCCTGATGTTCCCTCTCCTGGCCCTTTCCGCAGCTGTGGCCTCGGGGAACCGGCTGCCTACCCAGTGCTCTGAGGCCGGGCCCTGCTGCTAGGCAGCGGCCTCTAGCTTGTCTCCCAGGCATCCTGGCCCAGGGGAGGGCTGGAGTCACAAGCACTTTGTTCTCAGAGCCTCTCTGCCCTCCTCTAGCTAGAATCCAAGGCCTCCAGCATTCCCCAACTCCAGTTCTGGGCGCTTCCGCTCCACCAGCCCGGTCTGTCAGAGGCATCCTTACCCCTTTTGGCCCTTAGAAAAGGCATTTGGCGGGTTCCCTTCCCCCAGGGCACATTTCTAAGGGGGTGGGGTGGGGCACTGACACAGGCACTGCATGGTCATTCCAGCGTCCTCTGGGATTGGGTACAGTACCTCCAGCCCCAGGGCCCTGACCTGTGCACCTAGACTTTCTGCCCACCTCACAAGTGTTGGGGCCACTGAGTACATCTGACCTCACCGCCTCCTTTCCTTTGAGCCCAAGGCAGCGAGATGCAGCTGGTGCCATCAGAGGGCCAGGGGCACGTCTGGAGGGCTGCAGTTAGGTCAAGGACTCTGAGGTTTGATCAGGGGACTGGACGGACTCTTTCAGGAAATAGAAAGGTAGACGTGTCAGACCCGGCCCTGTGCCCTTCCCAAGACCTCAGAGAGCCATGGGTCCTGCCTGCTGAGGCCTGAACGTTCTTGGCTGAAACGGTGGACTATAAGGGGAAGGAGGCTGTACCAACACCAGTTAGGGAACCAAAGTTGCACTCTCTGGGCCCAGACTGTCTGGTTGGCAAGAGCAGTTTCCACTGATGAAACAAACATCCTACAACAAAAACCCAAGTTTTCTGTGCTACATGTGCAATATTTGTTATGAATGTCATGTCATTCATCAAATTCTTTATAATCACTGTAGCTAGATGTTTCATGTCCATTCAAGTGACTTTTATTCTGAGTGCAATATTTCAATAGCCTTGTAGTGATAACTAGTGTTGCTTTTGTTTTAGATGATCTCTGTGCAGGGCAATGCAATGAAGTTGAAAACCCTTGTAAATAGGAGAAGTTGCAAACCAAATCAAGAGTATTTATTACTATTATTACTATTATTAGGCCTGCCTTTAATTTCGGTGTTTCAGTATTCCGCATCCTGCCTCAGTATTGATCTTGTGTTCTTTGTGCCAATATGAAAAGGAGAGGGTTGGTTCTTTCCTTTACTGTTGAATGCTCCCATTTAATGCTTTAAGGCTTTTACTGTATTTTTTAGACTCCCATCTGCACAAAATGCAATAAAAATAATTTTATTATACCCTTCATAGCCTGAGGTGTGCTGTTTGGATGCTCTGGGGGGCCCTCTTGGAGGAACCCAGATTCTGTCAGAAACATTAACTTTGGTAACAGAAGAGCTCAGCTGATGCCACAGGCCTGGCTGTAGTCCGTGTGCACACAGCATGGCCCCAAGCCCAGCTCCTGATCCTGGGAGGCTCTTCCTGAGGGTTGGGCTGCTCCGACATCCTGTCAGCCTGGAAGCCTTCTCTAGGGGAGGCTCGGTCCTGCTGGTCTCACTTGCAGGAAGCTTAGGCCACTCACCCCAAGTTTACTAGAGGCTTTCTAGGCTTTGTGTAGATTCTGCCAACTGCCTACACAGTAGGTAGAAGAGGCCTTCCCAATGGTTCTTCTGCTTCCAGGACACACCTGCTGGCACACTGCTCTAACAGAAGATGTTGAACAGCACTCTAACTATCCAGCAGGCTTTTGCTTATTTTTGTACTGGAGATTCAACCCAGGGCCTCTGGCTGAGGTACATCCCTAGCTCATTTTAAAATCTTGAGACAGGGTCCTACTGAGTTGATCAGGCTGGGATTGAATTTATACTATTCCCGCCAGACTGCTGAGTACAGGTGTGCACTACCATGCCTCGCTAATGCTTCTCCCTAGGTGAGCTACACAAAGTAGTCTTAAGAGAGTGTGAGGCCTGATTTCCAGTTGAGGACAAGAAAGGGCAGACGCTGGTCCTTAAGGCAGGGATCCCCACGATCCTTGGAAAGTGTCCTGCATACAGTTGCTGCAGATATTCATACCCAAGATAAAGTTCTTTTTCATTTTAATTAAAAAGTAATCATTTCATTTTAACAACACAAGAATTCCAAAGGGGGGGGGACCCACTATATAACACAAACAGTTCAGAACATAAACTGCTGCCATTTGGGGACCTTCGGTTTTCAAGCCATTGCTTGCTCAGCCACTAGCAGGACTCAGCTGAAGTCTCTGCTCTGCCCTGGCCTGCCAGAGGCCCCTTGAGATTTGATCCACAGGACTCTAACAAGCACAATCCCTAGGGAGAGGGCAGATTCCTTTGGCTCCATTAGAACAGCAGCCAGCAGCCCTCCAACAATCTCACTCTGGCTCAAAAGTCATGAATACCAACCATCGAGAACATGTTCAGCTATCGAAAGCCTGACAGCAAATATTCCCTACCTCCTGCTGCTCAGAAAACAAAACTAGAGTCTGGATGAAAACAAAAGCCTGGGTTTTTGAGACAAAAACTCAAAACAAGTCCCTGAAAAGATGGGTGTCCTCTATTGGTCTAGGGCTGCTTTCTTAGTGCAGACTCCACAAAGCACTGCTTGCTGGAGGGAGGCACGGATGGAAATGTTATGAGAGAGAAGTGGAGGGCCCAGATTCAGTCTGTTTCAAACTGCTGGTGACTGGAGCTGTTCGGTCCACTGGAGATCCTCCAACGAAACGGAAGAAAAAGACTCCAACAAAGAAACCACCACTCTGATGCAGGCAAAACGAGTTCCTTTTTCTGTGGCCACCACGGTCCTTCTTTACCAATCCATCACAGTTGCTGACCTGCATCCTTGAGCAGAGTCCCACACTCACGGGGGGACATGGTGATACTGTGCCTGCCGTGCCCAGCTGCTCCTGTGAGAGGAGCCAGGAGCTCAAGCTCTGCGAGATGCGTGTCAACAGGAAAGCTTTGCTAGGCCCAAAATGAACGAAGGTAGTAGTCACTGTTCACGTAACATGCCACTCCAAACTTGCCAACTGGGATGCGACTTCTTCCTTTCCTCCCCCAAAGCCAGCAGAGAGAACACAGAAACCCCATCAAATATAAACTGAGCCTAGACATTGGTAACTGCCTGAACAACCAAGGAGATATTTTCTACCAAAAACCAAACCAAAACAAGACTCCCCCAAATGCAGTATAAACTGATTCTGTACAGAACAAGCAATACAGCCTTGGGCAGGGAGGAGCAGGTGGTAGAAACTTAGGACATTTGATGTAGACCTGGAGAGCGCAAAAAACCACCTCCACACCACTCTATTCAGAATGAAGTGGAAGGAGGCCAGGGGATGAGGGTACCGGGAGCAAGTAGTTGAATGATTCAGCCTCAGTAATGCCTCTGGTAAGATCCCATGGGGCCTTGGGGCCGCCCCACTTGTGCTGTGGTTTGGCTGACCAGGTGGGAGAGAGCAGGGCCACTCTGGATCAGGGTGTCCAGAGCCTTCTGTACGCTTGGATTGTCAAAGTTAATACCTGTGGAGGACACTGGCCTCTGGGTAGCCATGTTGCTAGCAGGTGCTAGGCAACTGGAAGGCTGGCCGAAGAGCCCTTGGGTAGGAGCCCCAGGCCTGGGGCCCAGGTTCCGAGTAGATCCTGCCTGTCCCAAAATATTTGGAGGCTGACTGCCAGAGGCCTGTGATCTTTGCTGAGGCTGGCTGTTTGATGTTGTGGAAAAATTCTGGTTCTGGGTGCTTCCGGCAGCAACTGAGGGTGAGGCAGAGCTGCTGTTGGCTACAACAGTGCCACTGTTGAAGAGGCTGAGGATTTTGGCCTGAAGCTCTTGCTGGGAGGTGGGGGGTACAGCTGGAGTGGGTGTAGCAGAAGGGAGCACTTGGCCACTCTGGAGTGGCTGGGAGCTTGGCTGTGTCTTCAGTGAGGCACCCGAGGTCGCCCCAAGTGGTTGGCGGGAAATCGGGCCTGGAAGACAGAAGACCAAGGCATCTGGTTACAGTACCCCCTAAGGGCAGGAGGCCTAGTAGCCCAGGGAAGCACAATAATCACTGAATCACATCAATATCACAGTGCACTGATAATATCATCAACTTCCCAAAGGGGCCACTTTATGGTATGTGCCATTTACAGAAAAATCTGGTTCCCAAGAGAATTCCCCAAAATGACGCACCAAAATGGTGCATCCATCTTGGCCACTAGGGAGCCAGCAATACTGGACCACCCACCACCACCACCACCACCACAGCCGCTGCCGCCACCACCACCACTACCACCACCACCACTGTAACTTTAGGAATCAGAATTCAGTACTTGAATCATAAGTTATCATTATCATTATCATTATCATTAATTACATCAGCATGGGTGGCCCACAGAAGAACCCGAGAGACGGGCTCATTTCCCTTACCCACCCCAAAGAGCCCTGGGCCTACCACCCTCCCAACAAAGCCTGGGGATTAGAGAAATGCAGAGTCAGAACTTCACCTCGGCCCTGCCACGTAGCTCACCAGGCAGAGAGTCGGTGCTGCTCCTCATAAGTCGCTCCTTTCGCTCTCGAAGGTAATTGATGATCTTGTCTGTCTCTTCCGCGGTGAGGTACCTATTATCTGCCAGCAGGTTGATGAGGCTCTGTATGGCTGGAGGGTGACCCCCACGCACTCCTTCCTCAGGGCCTCCTCGCTCTCTTTCCTGTAGGATGGCTTCATCAGCCATCTTGGCTGCCTGTCTGGCAATCTCTTCACGTTCCTTCTCCCGGCACTCATTCTTGTAACGCTCATAATTTCTGGCCACCAGCACCATGGCATCTGCCTGGGGCATGTTGCGATGCTCTGGAGGAGGGGATGACATGAGTTATTTTCTTCCATGACAGATTTGAGTTTCCACCTGCTGTATTCTACCAAGCCTTTTCTAACCTCTAACCAGCAAGGAAACAATTTTGGTGACAAAAAGCCTTAAGACTGGGAGTGGGAAGGGCTGGGAGGGAGACGAGAGGTGAATGAGTATCTTTGGTGGGGAATACATACCTTTTATAAAGCTATTTCTTTGGGGGGAATTCCTGGATCACAGACTTGTAGTAGAAACCAAAGAAACATGACAGCCTCCCACAGATTCAAAGAGACCACATGGGGACTAACCATGGGAGGCAAGCCCAGCAGCCTTCAGACCAGCAGCAGGAGGCCAAGAAGCCCTCTGTAAAGCCTGACTCTACAGTGCTCATCAGGACAGAGCTGGTATTGATTTTGAATTCACCAGTTCAAAAGACAGGGATCAAGAACAAACTGTGACCCTAAATAACCTCCTCTACTCACTGGTGGACAGCAGCGTCTTGCAGGGTGATAAGAAGATGTCTTAGAACCTTACATAAATATCCTCACATATTTTGAAGACCGTTCCTCAGAGACAAATGATTCACTAGAGGCTCTCACATCTGCTATGGCTATGGGTGTCATAGGCAGGCCATCAGCTGGTCGAGTCTCAAGGCTCTGTGCTCAAAGCTCTAAAAGCTACTCTGGATAAGTAAAGTAACATGGCTTGACCCTCTAGGGTTAGAACTTCCTATTTTCATAGCCCATCTGCTTACTTCTCCCGTATAATGATGAACAGCATCCGGAATGCCTGTGATATTGTCTGTCCCCCATTTAGATAGCTGGGAAAAAGCAAAGATTCTATTGTAGTCAGTGCAGTACGTGCTGGAGAGAGCTAGATCTCACTACTGAGAGCTGACACTGTATATTTCACTCCAACTCTCTCATCAGTGACTTTGTACTGGTGGCTTGAAATGAGATACAGTAGGAGTATGCATATAACAGAAACCAGCACATGCTAACTCCTATCCCACACCCCGGACCTAGTTGCTATTTGCCAGCACTTACTGTGTACACCTGATGACTGAGCAGACAGCAGACTCAGAGCTGTATCACTGAGAGCATCAACACAAATACATGATGTCAATCTCTAGAGCACTAAACTTAGAAGGGCTCTATCATATTGGAACCGATATACATGTCACCTGCCTGCCGGGGAGATGGCTCAGTGGAATAAGCGCTTCCCTGGCAAGCGCAATGCCCTGAGTTCAATCCCCGGTTCCACCAAAAAAAAAAAAAAAAAAAAAAAAAAAAGATAACATGTCACCTGCCCAAGACCTACTTCTTCTAAATAAGGCATAGAAGAATAAATATGCTATATGAGGCTGCGATCTACTTGGGTCTCCATACCTTGTGGAGTTCCAAACATAATGTTGACTGTACAGGAACGGTGAATCTGGTGTTGCTGGGTGATGACAATAGCGAAAGGAGACCCTCCCCTGCTAACATCCTCCAAGGCTTGTGATAGTGACACCTCTGTGTTGAGGAAGATCAAATCCACAACCATGCCTAGATCCCGGACCTTCCGTCCCACAGATTCAGCGTAATCTCTGTAAGAACAAGTAAGATTCAGCTGAGCACTCCCTGATCAACTCTCAGTGTGCACTGCTGTGCCTCAGCCAGCTGTGCGTGCTCCAGCAGAGAACTCAGCATCTGGCCCACCTTGGTAGCATTAGGCTCCAATGATCTAGATCAATTCCTCCTTTATACTGTCTCTTCTAGAACAACTGTAACTTGCCTAAGGTTACACCGGAAGTTGCCAGTAGCACAGTATTTGGTATGTTTTTTTTTTCTTCTCTCCAGTTCAGTGGTCTTTTCTTAATACTATTCTGCTGCCTAACTTTTGGGGTATTTACATGTCTTTGGGGAGGCTATACTACACAGTGGGAAAAGTAGACGCTTTAATACTAGAGAATGGGTTTGGATTCCAGCCCTAACATTTGACTGCCAAGTAGTGAAGCTTTTAAAGCAACTCCATTTACTTCTTACCAATGTCAATTTCTTTCATCATTGTTTTTTTTAACTAATAAAACAGGAATATGTCAATTTCTATGACATATGGTTCAGTTCCTGAGACATTTCCTTGATTTCCCCTCCAATCTAAATTAGATGCCTGGTAGTCTCTCCTCACAGGACTCATCACTTGTATGCTTATTTTTATCATCATTCCAACTAGGCTGTGAGATCCATATGAGAAAGGGCTGTGTTTGCTTATTAGAGTCCCAGTACTTAGTGTTTACCATACACAGAAAACTTCTCAATGAATAAACGTGAAATACAACTACTGTGAAGATTAGAGTGTAACACATTATCATGCATCCAGAAAAAGCCATATATAGTTAAAGTAGCATCTATCTCTGAACAAGACAGCTTAGACTGTGAACTCTGCCTGCGGCTCGATGTCTCAACACCTATTTCCCTAGACACTGCCTTGAAATTAGCTCTTTAACCCCAAACTACTAGAAAATAACATGAAGTTACTTACTACCTACCTGGGGAAAGGGAACACTTTTAAGCCTTCAAGCTGTTATCCTCCCTTGTGCTTCTCCGCTCTGCCTCTTCAAGGAAAAAATGTACACAGAGGTGGGAGAGAATAGTGCTATGAACCCTGGCTGGGCTGGCAGGGTCATCATCTAACAGTTCTGCAAGGCCAGGGCACTTCACAAGCAAGCTTGGTTCTTGGCTGACAACAGTGGAGACTCAAAGTTCTAGGAATTCAGGGTTATCTTTGCTTGACTAGTATCTATTCCGCTTCTTACACTTGCAGCCTACATAGTTGGACAAAGCTAATCTTACCTCTTGCTCTAGGGCTGAGCACATTTCAGTCTTGACCAATCAGAATGTTCTAGTATCCTGGCCAAAGTAACAGGACCAAGGATGAGAAAGTGAGCTGGTCAATTGAACGAAAATACTTTTTAGGTTTTCAGGTAAAAACACTGGAAAAGATAAGTTCACTTTTCAATAGGCTTAACAAGAAGATGCATTTAGGGACAGTGTCACCTATCTTTTCCAGGAGAAAATCTGTATGAACATGAAGACAAATCAAGGAAAGCAGAGCTGAGAAACCAACACAGACCACATCTTGAAGGCACAGTCTGAACCTGGATTATGTCTTTCCGGCTATGTCTCAGTTTCTAGGTAAGCTAAATGAAAATTTCTATGGCTGACGAGACAGTTCAGTGGACTAAGCACCTACTTAGGCAAGCACAGGGACTGGGGTTCAATCCCCAGCACCACCTGCCGCACCAGTCCACCCCTGGGCGTGCTGAGCCGGCTACTGGAGACTGGGTGTGGCGGCACGTGCCTGTAATTCCAGCACTGGGGAAGATGCAAACGGTTTAGACTCATAGCTGCATAGTGAGACTCTGTAACAAACATGTGAAAGAAAAGAAAGACAGACAGACAGACAAGACAGAAAGAGAAAAAGGAAGAAAATTTCTTTTTGTGGCTTAAGCCAACGTGACAAGCTTTTCTATATTTATAGCAGTATCAGAATATACATCCACAAGTTTGACTGTCTCTGTTCCCAGAGAGGCTGGGTCAGCCAGAATCTTCATTTCCTGTTCTCACGATTTAAAGTGGCCTAGGGGAACCTGCAACGCCTCGTCCATAGAAATCACCATCTCCTCTGAGGAACCCTGGGTAAACTTAGTGTCATGGGTGACTACTTCAAATTATTGATACAGGGGCAGCTCATTCTGTTCTGATTTTTTCCCCTCTGGAAAACTCTCCTTTAGGTCTACAGCCATAGTGGGGATTGAGGGCATCTCTATGTAGATCTATGTAGATTCTTTTTTTTTTTCTTCCCCGGAACTGGGGATTGAACTCAGACCCTTGCGCTTGCCAGCGAAGCACTTATTCTACTGAGCAATCTCCCCAGCCCCTCTATGTAGATTCTTTATTCCTGTTCTTTTTTTTTTTTTTTTTGGCTCGGAATGCCCTCAGGGGTGGTTTGGCTGGCTGGAGTGTTGTGGGGATCGAACTACAGCAACCTGAGGCTGACAGCTTTGTGGAAGCAGCCACTTA